TGAGCCCACATGAAATCCTGACAGGGAGAAAAATGCCCTGTCCTCTCACTGTTATGCACAGGGATTCAACACCTCTTTTTTTGCAGCATGCTGACATAAGTGAATATGTCAGACGGCTGAATAGCGCCATAATGAGTCTCTCTGAACAGGTGGTCGAAATCCTGCGCAGAGATCAAGCTGAGGAGCCTACCTCAGTTGCCGTGGACAGCTGGGTCTACCGCAAGGTGCACAAACTTCACTGGTTCGAGCCCCGGTGGCAAGGACCTTTCAAGGTAGCAGAAAGCACGACTTTAAACTGTGGCTCACTGATAACAAGTTAAGTAACTGGATCCATAAAACACACTGCACACTAGCAGAGGATCCCACTGTTTGTACAGTAAGTCAGATCAGGGCTGATTTGGCATCTAAATTGCTTGAGCCACAGTCAAAGGAGGACTAAATTGAGTGTGACAGTCTTTAGGGAACAGATATTGCTAGGGACAGCTAACAAGATGCCCATGTCAAATTTTTTAAATGGTCGCCCTGGCATTGTTCTCTGTGTTTCTGGCCTCATTGCCATAATTATTGTGGTTCCCCTCCTGTGGTGAGAATGCCAATCCCCCGCACACCGTGATAAAAGAGCAATTAATCAGGTCACACCTGCACTGGTTTTTGATCAGGGTGTAACTTCCACTCTGGAGATTGATGCATGTGACATTTTTGATTGTTCTGGGTGGCCCATGGTCGGTTTGAGACACTCTGAACAATATATCTGTATAATGTCTGAAGTTCACTTTGACCAGCGGTCAAGGCTTTGGTTTTATCTTTGTGACTGGGGGGATGTGGGTTGGAATAGTGGTCCTACATCCGGGGGTTACCGACCACCTCAGGCTCAGAGACACCAAAGTAAGGGAAAGACTTTGTTGGATCGGCTCTCTATGATTAAAGGTGAAGCCCCAGGAAATTGTAGAACTGGCAAATGTGTTCCTTTGTTCATAACACTTCAAGACCCCGGTCTAACTGACAGTGATAATGTGTTCCTCCTGGGGGCTCAGGTTTCAGGTGCTGATCCTTTAGGGAGATTCAGACTAATTGTAAGAACAAATTCTACTCAGGATCATAATCCATATGATGTATATACCCGTGATGGCATTCTGAAATCTGATTCACGTCACACATGGTAGGATGTAAGAAAATCTCTAATGTTATGATTAACCGATGAAAGTTTGCTACACATGATGTTTATACTTTTCCACAATTATGTCTGCTCAAATGCTCTTAGTGGCATTGAATCAGCTTACACATATGGCATACATATAGAGGTCACTGCAACGAAGAACCTGCTTACATGCTGATAGCCCTCTTGTGTTTTTAGTTCATTTTCCCCTAAAGTACTCAGCTCTGTAGTTGACCCTTGAGGGAGTGGCCATGAGGGGGGGCCTCTCACCTCTCGAAACGCTAGGTGGCTTCATCTGGGGAAAAAGGGAAATTGATTTAGGTCGACACGATTTTGGTCGTGTCGGAAGGGGGAATTGTTAGGTATTTTTAGTCAGACAGATATTGGATAGATACTTT